AAAAAAAAAAAACGGTGTGAAATTTCGTTTCCCTTACATACTGTGGTGAAGGTCGGCGCATGCGTGGAATTTGCTCATGCTTTCTGAACCTGCACTCCTTTTGGCTAACGGTAACAATAAGTTCAACACAACAGACATAATCGTTACTAGTTTCCCAGTGGGATGTTATGGTAATTTGGGGACTGGGGTGAATCAATCTCAATATTCCATTCCAGATTCCAGTCTGTTTGGATTTTATTGAAACAAGAAAAAAGAAACCAAATATATTTTCATCTTTACAAAGATGTGCTAAAAAACAAGATTCGCCTTGCGATGGAAGGCTTGAATAAAGTTTTTCTCTTTTGGTATTTGTACACTCTTTAGCCCTCTCTCTAATTTCGAGCAGTTAATTAACCTTTACCAAGACTAGATAGTTGTTTTACAAGACTCACAGATCGTAATAATAATCAAAAAGTGAATCCAAATCACTGCCTCGTCCAATAGCTGGTTTTAATACAAGGTTCAACTGGATAATAGTTTGAATTAAAAGTTAATGGCTTTTCCTGCAAAAGCTGCGACGTTAGCCTCACGGAACGCTTCTGAAACAGTCTGAAAGTAGAAAAAACGCCATTGCATTAACCGACCAATCACAGAACGCATGACTAAGTGTTCAGCCAATCAAAATGCTTGGCCACGATCACCATCACGCAAGATAAGGTGTTCAAAATCAAAATGATTGGACACCRCACCATCACCGTCACGCAAGATAAGGTATTCATCCAATCAAAATGCTTGGACTCCGCACCATTACAGTCACGCAAGATAAGTTGTTCATCCAATCAAAATGCTTGGACATGCTTGGTACCATTATTTGGTTTACAAGACTGAGAGAATACATACCGGATGAGCATGACAGACTCTTGCAATGTCTTCACATGATGCTCCATACTCCATCGCTAAGGCAGCCTCATTGATCATCTCACCAGCTGCTGGTGCTATCATGTGGACTCCTAGCAACCGATCTGTATCTTTGTCTGCAATCACCTTTACAACACCATCGATTTCATTATTGGTTCTGGCTCGACTGTTTGCTGATAGAGGGAACTTGGCTGTCTTGTATTTTACACCCTGGAGAGAGATAAAAGATGAAGTTATGGGGAACAACACCACCATGTCAATAGTCACRATTATCAGCAATATGATCATCATCAACACCACGATGCCCAACAATAAATCAAAGATATCATAATTACCATCATCACAATACATACGTATTGCAAAATATAGACTAGCAAAGTCCAGAACCAGAAGTGTCTTTTAATTGCAAAGAGAATTCAGCTATGGTGTACATCTGCCTTTCCATGCATACTCCATTTTGCACAGGAATGTTATAACATCCCTCATTCATGTACATTTAATGTAATAATGTTTATGGAGCCGTGAAATGTGTCACCTACTACATTATTATCATTAACAGCATAACGACACCATACTAACCTCTTCCTTCAAAATTTCCTCTGACTTTCCTACCCAGGCCACTTCCTGGAAAGAAGTACCAAGAATGTGTGAGTGTGAATGCTTCTCAAATATTGAAGGTTCACTGTTAAGATCAGTAGCAAGGCAGGATGAAGTAGAATGATGTACTTACAGGATGAGTGTAGATGACATTGGGAACACAGTTATAGTCAATGTGGACTGCACCTCCATTCATCCCTTCAACACAGATTATACCTTTGTAGGAAAATAGACATGTGATTGTGAGCTTACATATTATTTGACAGGATATATCATGAGTGTGACATCAATAATAATATGGTTACTATCATGAACACCACATCATCACCAACATGTATTATCCATCACCATCATCAAGCTTTATAATTATCATCATCACCATCATGCATGTATCATCATTATTATCATCATCGTTATCATGTATCATCACCATCAAGCATCATTATCATCATCATTTTCTTCATCATGTCATCCATGTCACKTACCTTCATCTTCAGCCTTGTGAGCCAGCATAGGTCCATCAATACAATCCCCAATGGCATAGATGCTAATAAAACATTAGATAATCACTGTTTAGTCTAGTACTGCTTCATGCAACATACTTATTGATGCCTGAAACAACAACTTTAATTATCAATTATTCCAGCAATTTAATCTTTATCCATCTACTCACTTTGGGATGACAGTCTGGAATTTGCTGTTTACTGTGACCCTTCCTCGTGAATCCAGAGGGATGCCAATTTTCTATAGAAAGACGAATGAATACTGTATTTAAAGTGCTCAAAACACCTTGGAGGCCAATCTATAGCCTGAATGCCACTCACGACTGACAATGGCTGGTGGAGAAACAGTAATAAGCTTGTCTGGTGAGAATGAAAAGTACCTACCTCTAAACCAAGCCGAGTAGTATAGGGTCTTCTGCCAATACACACCAGGAGGACGTCACATTCCAACTGAAATAAAAAAGCAGCATGAAATAATCAGCCAAAATGAACATGGTGACCTAAGACTGATAAAAATAGTTAACTTGGAAACAAAGTTTTTTTCTTGTTTATTAATTGGTCTTGTTTTGTCTTGTTTTGTCTTGTTTTGTATTCCTAAGCAACCAGGGCTACAAATGACAGCTGTTTAATGCACTGACATGGTACAGACTGGTAACATTGGACCATAATAAACATATATGACCAGCGAATGTAAATCCCACTGGTACTTGGGGGTTGGGCTGAGGGCTAATAACCCATCAAAAAGGTTTATTACAGAAACCAGAAGCAGAGCAAATTTGCCATTCTGTGAAGGCCCTATGTGCTATGCGGTGTGAGGAGGATAGATAACAGATAAYAGTGAATGTGAGTTGTCAAGAGTACTGACCTAACTGGTGCAACCTAAAACATGTTTGGCTATAATCATCTTCATACCTGTTCTTTCTTTGATCCATCTTTGGCTGATTCCACACTAAATAATCCAGAAAAATATTACTGATAAATGACCAACTGGGTTAACTGTGGTGAACCAACATCAATATTTCCCTTCCTATCCCCTTCCTTTTCCATGAACATTATATATATGCAATATGCATTCAATGGATTTTCATGCAAGCTACCCTGGACATATATGTGTATCTCTATTAACCCCTGGTCAYTGAAAACTGCAATAATAAAAAATCTGGTCCTTGGAAATGAACTGGTGCTAAAAATAAAGTCATTTACCTTACGATAACACCTTCTGCTGTTCTGCTTGCACCTATGAGTATACAGTAAATATCATTCAGGGTTCTAAGTAGAGTATACCCCCGTGAACCACAGTCTTCGTGTACTACTCACCAGTTACTTTGGTATTCAGCTTGAACTTGACTCCTTGCTTTTGAAGAATTCTTTGGAAGTTCTTCCTGTGAATAGCAATTATCATTCTAGTGAAACCCTCTAAACAACACATTTCTTCCTGGTATTTGAAAAGTCGCTCCGGCATCTTGATCGCTGAACAAGTTAAAATGTCAGAATACTGATAATAAGAAAAGACATCAAGGAAAAATGTTACATACGATATTTCCATGTCAATTCCGATTCCTCCAACATGTCCGAGAAACTCCACAGCAGTAACTTTAGAACCAAGTCTTGACCAGACAGATCCCTGTAAGACAGATTGTGCTTAGTTAAATTCCTTTAGTTTATGATTATTACAGGACTACGAGGTGGAATACTCACCAACTCAACCCCGATGACACCTGCACCTATTAGAACAAGGTTTTTGGGTACATTCTGAAGGGACAAAGCTCCAGTAGAGGAAATAATGTGTTTTTCATCAACCTAGAATAAGAAACACTGTGATTATACTGAGTCTACCATTTTCAATACTTATTATTATCATTATCATCATCACATCACCATCATCATCATTTAAATTATCATTGTTAATATTATTATTATCCTTTTCAATACAGCTGTATATTACTAATCATTTGTTTAAAACAATATTACTGGTTATTTTTATGGAGTAGTGTCATCATGGTAATGTACATGTCGGAAATTCTTTTACATGACAGTGATTCCATCGAGTTACCATCGTTTGCATTACTACGCAGTCACCCCAGACACAAATCGAGTTGTGTAGTTTGCAATAGACTTCTGTTAATCATTCATGTTGATGCCATTTATACATGTTTGGATCAGTGAGTTGGCTTTTCTATCAAACTTTCTCAGGAGTACATCCAAGTAGAATGAGGTGTTTGTTTGTCTATTGCAAACTACACAACGTGATTTGTGTCTGGGGTGGCCGCGTAGCAATGCAAACGACGGTAATTGCTAGTCTCTTTGTAACAGTGATGGTTTTTTATGAGTTGTTATAGATACCTCAATTCCAGGAAAGGGTGTAACCTCTGAACCTGTTGCTATGAGAATATTCTTGGTGTTGATAACCTCTGTAGTGTCATCATCTTTGTATACTGTCACCTACGACATGATCAAACGGTTAGTATTTACTAGCATTACTGTATCAACTAAACGAATGTTCAATGTTTTCAATGACAAACCTCATTGGGACTGGTGATTGTACCTCTTCCATGCACTTCAGTCACCTATGAAAATCAATATGGGAAAAAATGAATGGATGGATGGATGGACGGACGGACAGACGGATGGACGGACGGACAGACGGATGGACGAATGGATAGACGGATGGTCGGATGGACAGACGGATGGACTAATGGATAGACGGATGGTCGGATGGACAGACGGATGGACTAATGGATAGACGGACAGATGGATAGATGGACAGGCGGACGGACGGATGAGTGGACCATAAAGTATATTGGTAATATAGAATTGATTTTTATACCTTATTTTGTTTAAACAAATGTGCAATTCCATTTGTTAATGTTTTGACTGCATTCTCTTTCTGTGTCATCATTTGTTTCAAATTGAGTGAAATTCCTGAAACTGTTTCATAAAAACTCAGTAAGAAATTTAATGCCATTGTACTTCTATTTCATCATAAGTAACACTTTTTGATTACCATCAATTCCTCTGTTTTTGAAGTCATCTGAGACTGCTTGATGGTACAGATGTGAGTTATTCAAGAGGGCCTGAATAATGGAATGCATAAAGGTTCAAAAATGGGTTACACAGAATAACATACAATATTTTACATACAGATTTGTCCAATCAAACCTGATTGTGAGTACAAAGGGAGCCCAAAATGTAAATATACCAAGTACTAGTAATGAATGAAAGAACAACAGATCTTATATTATCACACAAAGCAGATTACAGTACATATGATGGTGGCATATTTTAGCATTCTTTTTGAATGAGCAGTGATCTTGTTGGCTTTTAGTGGTTTAGCAATGGTTGTCATGGCTACCACGCATCATAGTTTTACCTACCGAATTCTTCAAATTTACGTAGCATCTACTCCAGAACATCCAGTACGAAGTGCAGAGAAAACATTCTTTTAGATTTCTACGTAATTTTCCTACTGGATTAACTATACTTTAAAAGTTAAAACAGGAAAGCCACTAACCTTGGAAGGTATACATCCAACGTTCAAGCATGTTCCTCCAAGGGATGGGTTCTTTTCTACACATACAGTCTGTAAACAGACCAGAAATACTTCATCACATAAAAGGTGGATTTGAAAACCATATAAAATGTGAAATGATATCCTGATAAATAAACATTAGTAAACGACAACAAAAAGACAAAATATGATATCATGAGAGGTAAAATGGAGCATGACTGACCTTCATACCGAGCTGTGCAGCTTTAATGGCAGCAACATAACCACCTGGCCCCGATCCTATTACTACCAAATCAACTTCACCTAAAAATAAAATAATTAAAACACAAATTGAAGTTAGATTTAATAAGAGTGCCTTTCACTGCAAGCAGCTCCAGACAAAGCCTGCTTGTCCTGCTTTCTCTTGCTTTAAACTATCAAATCTATAAATATCGTAAAACAGTGATTGACAGAAGCCAAAATCTTGATGAAAACAGCTGTTATGCAACAKCCCTTCCATTTCTCCATTTCTCCATGACAAGGGTGTCAGAGGTGCTTGGAGAAGGTCCAAGGTGGGTAAATTGTGATGCTGAGCTTTCTGTGAGGGGGGAGGGGGGTAAACTATTATCACCCTATGTATTTGAAGCATCTGATTATAATCTACATCTATAGATGCGTATTTCATTATAGTACAGGTATATGACATGATTAGGTCATATTTAGTAAACATTTATTAACAGCAGATCTCTTACCATCTGTTGCATAATGCCTGGAAGAAATCAAGCCAGTAGATGGTAGAATCGTTGTTTTGTATAGCCTAAATCTCTGTAAAAACATCACCATCATTCAGAATCAATCAAGACATCAAGAGTACAATTCATCGTAAAATCAAGAACTAACAATCTCAAAACCTGATTTAATTTAAGAGAATGTAAAGCCTTACAAGGCTAGTTTTCTCACCTGTAGTAGTTTAGTATGTGATCTAACACTACGGTGTATCAGGGAATTCATCTTTATATCCTAAAGGGTATAAAAATCCCTCTTATTTTTGGTTTTGTGGGATAACAAAACTTGCGAAACGAGAATGGCAAACCGCTGGCGATTTGAGTGCAGGCGAAAAGATCAAGTGCATGACATAAGTTAGAATACCACTGACTACATTCATCGCAGGTTCAAGCATGGCGGACGACAAGTGATTTTCAGTGTTCCAGCGTCTTCCAGCATATCTTCCAATGTCATGCTACTAAGATGCCTGTTTTACGTCCTAATACCCTTATCGTTGGCCTTCATGATAACATGGATCAAAGTTTTAGATCGTGCCAAGGTAGAACTAGGCCTGCAACACTACGCAGAGAAAGGAGATCCAACTTCCTTCCTCAAAATGCCGGCCAATGCTCTTGTGAACTTTGGTTACAGCATCATAGGAATGTACTGGATTATCTTCACTAGAAGGAGTGAGAAAAAGCTTGGAACAGAAGTGTTCTTCTATTATATTTTTTCTTGGATGTCTGTATGTTACGGGTTTGTCCAGTTTGGAAGGATAGTCTCCCAGACTAAAATGTTTGCCATTATTGACCAATGGGTGACTCTTCCTTTCTTCGCCTGGGTCGTCTGCTGGAATGAGTTTGTTTATCGCCAGTCGTTATGGCAGTCAAGCCGATTTTCATCCTACATGCGCATGTCTTTTTTTAGCTATTTTTGTGTCTTGTTACATGAATATGGTTTTGAGTTTGTACTGGGATTACACATCTTGGCGGCCATCATCTACACCATTCGCACACAGGATCGTGTTGGAACACAACTTTCAATAAAATATTTTTGGTTTGCTATTCTTTGCTGTACAGGATTTGTTTTTCTTAAGCTAGGGGATCATTATTTAGGTCAATTTTCTTACTTTCAAAGATTTAGCGGCCATTTTTGGTCAAAAGTTTGTGACATAGGCCAGGTACATTTCGTATGTAAGTACTTCCAGAGTCTTCAGATCATTCCAAAAGAAAGTAAAGGTGTGAGTAAAAGATTAAGGAAAAAATATTGAATGAGAGAAAGGCTGTATGACACGTAGACTGTTTATGACTTGCCTTCTGAGTCCTCTCAAATCTGTCATCTTAAACAAATTGTAGCTCAAGTTTTCCCCCCTACCCTTTGCATGCTTGTAAATGATTCCCATTCACTTCACAAGAGGGTTAGTAGAGACTTTGGTTCTTATGACATTATTATTTTGTTCACACTGCAGTCCATTCACAGTGTTAGCCAATCACAATTTGGAATGAAAGTTTGAGCTAACCAGGAGAGCATAGTCAGCAGCATATTGACCTCGGCCAATCATGTTTCATTCCCACTGCCGGTAAACGTTTGTCACAATTTGTTTGTGTGGTTATGATTGGCTCATGCTGGAATGCTTAGATTTTATCTTCATCATGATTGGTTAACTTTGTAGTAAAATAGGTTGTGGTTGAAATATCTGTACAATATTTCAGGGAAATTRATAAACTTCAGACTTAACATGTACTATGTATCTGAGCCTTTATTTCAAAGACATACTGTAAGAGTATATTGTCAGGCCAAGAAAAGGTTATGATTATCCAATGACCCTCTTATACAAAGTATATATATGAAGTATTCACAATCTAGATTTACAAAGCAACAAGACTAAAAGCTACAAATAAAGAGACTTTCACCAGCCTACAAGTTTTTCTCAAACTGACATCACTTTTTTGAGTCCCTTTACGGTTAATTGGACGTATGTCAACTGTTGTGAAAAACTTATAGAATATTGAATTGACATTGGCAAAATAACTTCTATTTATGTACTRTATTGAATATACTGACATGCTTGTACATGTCAAGTCATTAGTTCTACTGGTACAAGCCTAGACTTGCTCCAAGTCTTGCTGGCTAATTTTTCCCCGGTAAAACTCAGATTCAAATAATGCACTTCCCGTTATGACGGCTTTTCAAAAATCTGAAAAAAGGCAAGCTGGCCTTTTTGTTTTGAAAAGCCGTCATAACGGGAAATGTATYATATCCCCAACTTCCATCAAAAGCAATAAGTCTGGGAATTATTTTGGACATTGAAAAAAAAAAGAGTTTGCAAGAGCTAACATCTAGTTGAGGATAGAACAGTGAACAATAAGGTAACATCTTAAGAACTTAACTACTTAAGAAATGAAATTAATGAGTTTACTAATAAATACATTTGACAAAGTACATTAAAACAAAACTGCCTGTGACATGATTGACTTGTTTCTCCTATAAACAAACAATGTTTGACACTTCTTAAAATGGTGGTTTTAGATTTCCATGATAAAAAAACTGATTTCCTATCTCGATCAGATATTAGCTAGTAACCATATGCATACATGATTTGAATACATATACAGGAGAATCTTTAATGCTGCTCAATTATATGGCTAATAAAAAGTAAAAACCCTTAGATATCCGAGCAAAAGGATGGATGGATCTAGGAATAAATCTATAACAGTTTTACAATCTTGAAGAGATCAATAGGTAGATACTATAGAAATTTCCTGATAATGATAATAATCAGTATAATATGTTGCTCAAGATACATAATCTTATGTGTTATGTAATAATGTAAGTAGCTCTCAACCTTTAATTTGCTCAGTGATTTGACAGTCAGTTTTGAGTATGGTTGATAAAATAAGGAGCCAATATGCTGGTGAATCTCTTGCCAAGATCTTAGGTAAATATTCCTTACTGAGCTGCCTCAGGGTTATGAGAATAATAATAAGAGATTCAAAACTATAAAACAGCTTCTGAAGAACGAACTGATGATATCAAAAGACCACTTTTAACGTCCAAAAGTATTTTACACAATCCATGTTGCTTGTGGATAGATTTTATGTAACAGTAAACCAATGACATGTCTGTTATGACTCCTCCTTGACTACTGTTCCYGTTGCTTCCATGGATTGCTTGGATCCAGACTGCTCCCCTTTTTCATCAGTTTTTAAATTATCTACATCATTTACTCTTTTCTCTTCTTTTTCAGACTCTTTCTTGATTTTGTCTTTTTCTTTTTTTGCTTTCTTTGAAGCAGACTCTGCAGACCTTGAATAATAATAATGAATATTAGGATCAAGGTTCTGATTGCCATTGTCTTAAGAATGACCCCTGCTGGTTTTGTTAAACAAGCTAGTTGTGGCTACATAATAGTTTTGGGTTTACATACTTGTCTGTGGCTGGTCTCTTGTTGCCTGTTTGCTTGACAATTAGTTGTCCATCTTTCAAATCTCTTGGGTCTAAATTAAAAACAAAATGAATAAAAACGTTCTTGGTGGTGGTGGTGATGATGATGATGGTAGTTATCGTAATGGTGATGATAATGAACGATGGTGATGATGATAATGAACGATGGTGGTTATCCTAATGGTGATGATAATGAACGATGGTGATGATGATAATTAACGGTGGTTATCGTAATGGTGATGATAATGAACGATGGTGATGATGGTAGTGATAATGATAATGAATGATGGTGTTTATCCTAATGGTGATGATAATGAATGATGGTGATGATGATGGTGGTAACACTGGTTATGTCAGATGACAGTAATGATGGTGATATAGTGATGATAATGATGGTAAACAGATCAGGAACTGATATTGGAAGAGAACAACCATCCACAAACAGTAAGTAAAAGAATGAATATCTTTGAAGTATTACCTTGTAACCATCTGACTTGTGTTGCAGGACCATATCTGACAAAAAAATTAAAATTTAAACAACCTGCAATGTATTTTTTCATGGTCAAAGAATAATAATATGCAACTGAAAAAAAAAACAAATTGTGGAGCACACAAAATATAATGGCTGCTGTAAGTCATAAATATGGTGTTAATATAAAGTGTAACCCTCCTGTCAGGTGCTACGTTCCGTGTTTTAAGGTTGGGTAATTAGTAAAGATAAAGTAAGACTCACCCTTTGTCATTTTTTGCAGCGATTCTAAAAATAATAGCTGGCTTAGTAGAAAAGTCAATGTGCGCACTATGAAGTGTTGCCATGGAAACAGTGCAAGTAGGCTGGGCGCCACAGTATACCCTTACGAAGGCAAGCTGTACTGGGTTATTGGGTGTAGCACCACTCACTCCACCCATTTCCTTGATGTCTTGATTTGAAGATTGACTCCTGATTGCTAGGTATACAGAATACTCTGTGACGTTACCAGATGCATTGGATGGTGCTTCCCAAGATAAGTGTGCTCCATCACCATTCTATAACAAAACAAATTCTTTAGTGTCAATAACATCAAGTAGGAATGTATGAAAAGGGAAAACTGTACATGGATTATCATTAAGTATACAGTAGTACATATTAAGCGGGGATGGGACGTTGTATGGTGTCCACTGAATAGAGGATTGTTTTACTAACAGTAAATAGAGGCTTTGCACCATCGTGATGACAGCTAAGGCATGAGACACAAAAATAGAGTGTTTTCCCTAAAGAAAACTGAATTTTTTCTCATGTAAATCAGATTAGACTAGACCCATTGTTCCTGCCTTCTGTCATGGTTGCAATCACCTGATCACCTGTGCAAATCCTCAAACTCTATATGGAAAGAACATTTAGGGACCTGTGCAACTATTCATATGATAAAACGTGTCTGGTTAATAAACTGGGTCTGCTTGATGGAGATGGAGGTATCATTGTAGCTATGAATAAATAATACATAAGAAATCTACCTTGCTAATTTTGATAGCTGATGGCGCTCCTGGAAACCCTATAATACAACAATAAAAAAAACATAAATCATATTTCATTGTGTTCAGCAATAGGTAGGCTTATCAACAGCTTCAATCAATGGCTGAACACTAAGTGTTTTCAAGCCCTTTTGAAATTTTTTTTATCAAGACCTTAGTGTAAATGTACTAACCTGGCAGACATGTTTTGAAAGCTGAAACATCACTGAATGGACCTCTGCCGCAAGCATTTATTGCTGCCACTCTGAATTTATAGGCTGTGCCTGGTTGTAACTCTTGCTTCTTTGGTGAGCTTTGGTCTGTATTCACCACATCAATCTCAGACTACAAGAATAACAGGCATTCAATATGTCAAAATATTTATTGGAATTTAATTTTTTGGAAACATTGGAATGGTGTATGGAATTTTTTTTTGTTTTTTGTACAGTATAGGAAAGTTGATTCCTCTACAGATGTCAATGCTGTCAGGGAGTTGAGTTGATCTTGTCAATCGACTCGGCAAACTAATTTCTCTTCTGCATTTCTGTTTAACCCGCTGAACTGTGATTTGTAACAGATTGGTCAATCACTTGAAATGTAGTTCAATTAATCAGAATGAAGATTATATATTGAGTATATACCTCTTTATTGCTGTCTGATGTTAGATGGTAATGAGTAACAAGCATTGTAGTGCCTTTTACTATTCCCACATCATACCAGACGCTTTGCGGCACAGTCCTCTTAACAGTAATCACTTTGTTCTGTTTTGGGTTGACCTTGAAATAAGAAAAAAATTAAACATTTAAGCAGCCATGCATACTAAACTGCACAATATACAAGTGATAAAACAATTATGATAAAACCCTTACCTTTTGTTGTGGCAATATTTGTTGTTTGACAATTCCTGTGTTTGATGTAACACTTCCATTGACTGATACCACTGGACTTGACTGTGATGTTGAAGTCAAAYGAGCTGCCAATGATGCCATGGATGAGGTAGTAGGAGAGTTGACTAATGATTTAGGTAAAGAGGTAGATGCTAATGCTGAATGACTGGGTGTGGCCATACTTGCCGATACCTTGGGTACGGCATGACTTGCTGAAGGTATGGTGGAAGAAACTAATGGAGTTGTCAAGGCAGTAACAACAGGGGTACTGACAGGTTTTGTTGCTCTATTTACAGGAATGACTGAAGGGGTCACAACGCTCACAAGACTGGGTTTGGTTACCATGGTGAGAGATGTTTTGGTAATGCCTGGGACAGACATAACACTGCCAGTAACATTCTGTGGTGTACCTGGTATTGGAGTTGGAGCTGTGTTAGTTTTTTGAGGCATTCCAGTTGTCTTTGCAATAGTGGAAGGCATTAAAATAGATGCTGGGATGGCATTTGTGGTTGCTACTAGAGACTTTGTTGGCTGCTGAAAAGTAGTGATAACTGTAGGTTGTTTGGTAAAAGCAACAGCATTTGAAATTTGCTGAGAAGAAACTGTAGAAACAATTTTGGGGGTGCTCAATGCTTTTGTAACCTGTGTGGTTCCCAAAACCTTGGTTGCTTGAGGCATGGTATTTGGTGCACTGGTCACCATGCTTGTGGTACTCTGGACTGACGACTTTGCAACTGTTACAGTAGGGACGACCTTTAACTGTGATCCCAGCTGTGAAACAAGAGTGACTCCTGGTGCTTTAACTGTACTTGGAGTTGTCATCACAGTTCCCTTTGAAGATGATGGAGCTGTTACCATGGAGACTTTAGCACCAGACTGTACGAGTGTACCAGATGCAGGCTTGCTACCAGCTGTAGTAAGAATTGGAACAGCTTGGAAGACAGTAGAAGTGCCAGCTTTTATTTGTTGAAGCTGCATTCCAGGTGGAAGCTGTGCCATAATACTTTGTAATGCTGCCTGTATACTACCAGGTCCAATAGCTGTCAGCTGACCAGATGGGCTAAGCACCTTGATCTGAGTTCCAGGAGGTAGATTTGCAGGCAGTGTAACTGGTAAAGGCTGTCTTATTCCTGCACTTGTGACTGGAGTAGGTGTTGGTGTTGGCAATTTTTTGACAACAGAACTTGTTGTCGTTGTATTTGGGACTGACGGTCTCGCTGCCATGCTCTGACTGACTGTACTCATTGCTGGTACTGAGACAGGAGTAGTGACTCTAACAATAGTTGCTCCTTGAAGCTGTGTAGCACTGACCTGAGAGTTCATAATGATGGGACTGGCACCTTGTAAACCAGGGCCCTCTAGCTTCATCACAGGTACACCTTGTGCATTGGTTATCATTGTAGCATGAACCCCTGGTGGCAACTGCATTGGTGTTCTCACAAGTGTCACTCCCTGAGTGCCGACACCTGCTGGCTGACCTTGCACAATAGCCTGAGTAGATACAGTAGATTTTGCTGGAGTAGATGAGCTAACTGTGTTAACCATGGTTGTTGGCACTACTTTTTTCACCTGTGGTGCTACTGTAATAGCAGGAGATGTGGAAGTTGCAGGAAGTTGGCTCACTTGTATAGTTGCTACTGGGCTTTTAGTAGGGTGTGACTGAGAGGATACATTGGGTGGAGCTGGTGCTTGCTGTGAACTTGATTCTAATGCCTTAGCAGCAGCAGTAGTGGTAGTCACCTTAGGAACAGACACAGGTACAGAATATGGTGCTGGCATACTTCCAGGAGTTGTCTTTACTGGCAATTGTCCTTGAAAATTTTTAAGGTTTGGGTTTGGAACAGAAGCTTGGGGTTTAAGGGGAGAAATGCTTGGACTTGTTAATGGTCGTGGAGGAAGACTTGGGTTTACTGTTTTAGTTGGTTGTTTAGCAGAGGTGGGATGCGAAGACTGTTGAGAGACAACTGGCGCAGGTGGCATCTCGTATTTCTGGAGTTGCAGAACGTATGCATCGGCTGAAAACCAAAATGTAACAATAATTAATAGAGCTGTTAAATTGTGACATGTTTTCTAGTCCAACTGCTACAAAAAAAAAAAAAAAAAAAAATTTTAACAAAGTTCTCCATTACTAAACCTTCAACTGAAAGCCAAAATGTAACAATAATTAATAGAGCTGTTAAATTGTGACATGTTTTCTAGTCCAACTGCTACAAAAAAAAAAAAAAAAAAAAAATTTTAACAAAGTTCTCCATTACTAAACCTTCAACTGAAAGCATTAAAACTTTGGACAAAAATCTTGTCATGAAGAAAAGGTAAGAAAAATCTTTATCAAACTGCTTTTCATTTTGCCATATGAGTGATGTCACACTTCATAGCTCTATATAATAAGTAATATGAATTAAAATTCATTTTTGATTTCATAAAGCTTGCTATTGTGTTTGAGGACCTGCATCATGTTACCTTTGTTAATTAATTCGCAGACCCGAGGAAATGACTGGGACTAGGAATCAAGTGATTCTTAGTTCAAATTACTGATCTTAATAAACACAGCACGAGGAGCTACTCACCTGTTGAAACTGAGCCCCAGCAAACCTCAAGAGTTGTTGTACTGGCACGAACAAGCTGTACTCTGCTAGGAGCTGGTGGTTTTGCTACACAACAGAAAAAATGACTGTTTAATATTTCCCTTAAAGAACAGTCAAGATGTCATCATTGTTTATAAAAATCAATATCTAGCAAGATGTGCACCTACCTGTTTCAAGGAACCAGAGATCTTTACAACAAACCTATTTAACAGAAAGACAAACAAAAAAGAAAGGTTAGTGTTTCTATCTATCAGTTACTTTTAAGTTACTTAACAGTTACTTTTACCTGATTGTTCCAGGCTTTTCTATATCCATCTCTTCCACTCCACACGTACATCCTTGTATTGATCTAATTTGCAGGAATGACAATTTCAAAATATCAATTTATTTGGTCAGTTAGATGGCTTTAAAAAGTGGGAATTTTCAAGTCAGAATAAAGATCATAATTATTATGAGGGTACAATACTCACAGATACAGCACAGTGACCAGCTCTTGCTCTCGGCATAGAGTCATCAAACTGATCAATTACAACATTTTCCCAGTACATAGTGTCTATTGGGGGAAAAGATATCTCATTAAAACATTATTAGTATATCTGGCTATCCAAAGAAAAACATATATGACCCTAATTCTTGTTACTTTTTTGCTAGAAAAGAGAAGAGAAAATAAAAACATTTTTGCACTCAAAATATTAAATAAGTTTACCTAAATTGAGACAAGCCAGTGAATTTGTGCATTTCCATTCTTTTTCATGTTGTAAGCCTTTAACTTCGTCCATCACTAATGGTACCCATCCACCAAACACATACATCCTGTTAAAGTTAACATAATATATTAACCATCAATGACTATATTACTGTGAATACCAGTACTGTACAGGGCATAAAATAATGGTTGGACATTGGACAATGTCCACCAAGAATTGGAACTTGTACAGTCAAATCTTTGCCTTGCTGGTCATTTTGATCAGTAATGTTGAGCCAGAAACAAGGCATTACTGAACTAAAACTAATTTGGCCGGTCATCATACAATCATATAATACAATTATGTAAATATATGGTGTATTATTCCAGTGCCAAAAATGGGGGTTTTTAAGCTCTAAACCTGGCATTTCAAGACATCTATGGGAAATATCTTGAGAGAGGGGTGGGAGGGGAGATATCCTGTTTGTATCTGACTTACTTGTTTCCAATTGTTGTTGCAGAGTGAAGACTTCTGGGAAGAGGTACAGCCCCACGTGAGTTTGGTTTTGACCATGTCATGTTATCTATAAAACATATTCGCACATGAACAAGAATTCTAATGAGATTATAAGAATATTCACAGGTATATATCAAATTTAATCATACCAATATCTAGTTGATATAGATCTCCAAGTCTGCAACCACTCATTCCACCATAAACGATCAGCTTTGAATGCTTGCCATCCACTGGGGAAAATGATACACATGTATGGGATTCTCTTGGAGATGGAGGGGTGCCAAATGTTGAGGGGTATTCCCACTGTAGAGAGCTGCCACTCCTTATATCAATCACGTACAGGTCATTTAGATATCTATAAATTAATAAATATAAGCCTTATTAGTATATAACAAAAAAAGAATAATATTTTACATCATCCAAAAACTTCTGTTGGGCTTCCTGTGGAAAAGTACCACAGGCAACCCAACCACTAAAAATGATGAACTCTAAAAACCGCTAATTTTATTATTTAAAGTGAAGCCTTCTGGGTAAGGGTAAGTATTACCTTGATAGAAGTGTGAACAATACATTGAACTTATAAATCCAGTATTTCAAAGAATATCTACTAACCTTGGTATATTATTTTTTGGGTCTTCACTGTCGTTTGCAAGGCCAGCAAACAAATAAGCCTTGTGTCCAACCAAAGTAAAGCTGTGCCCTAGTCTTGCACAAGGAGGAGGGATGTTTGAATTTTTAGGGGGTTTAGGTTTCAGTTTTTTCCACTCCCATCGACTTGCTTGCAGCTCAAATAACTGTAAAAAAAAAAAAACGGAAAAAAATTTAATTTTGGGGGAGCATCTTTTATAAAAAGTTGAAAGGAAAAAGAAAGTAAAGAAAAAGAAAATTAAATTGGCTTTAATTCACAAAAATAATTTTTGTACTTTATTATTGTTATCCTGACTTAAGTTCTTTTCAAAAAACTCTAAACCTCATGGTTTATAAATGAAATATTTGGGATATTCAAACAAGTAGATCTCTAAACCTAAACAAAAAAAACCAGCTGGTTACTAGATTTATCAAATACCAAAGTTTTTTTCGTATTTTTTTTTTTAAAAAAAGAAAGAGATATTAAATTTTTAAGAGAGTTATAATTTCAGCATGAAATTGAAAAAAATACTATTTATTATGACAATAATTAAGACTTTGATAAATTAATTCATAACTGAAATAAAGATTCGAAAAATTATCATTAAAGAATGAACAAAGCCAAAATCAGATGTTGGTTGGAAAGAGAATATTTTCCTATCCCATTTGTAACCAGGGGAATCCTATATTTTGGTTGAAAAGAGCGTTAATTTCTTATTGCCTGTCTAGAAAAAGACTTTTTCGTGATACAGTAGAAGACTCCGTGCTTGGGTGACCTTTTGAAAATACGAAATTTAACCGCTATTATTGTCGGTATTTGCTCTTCAATACTTAATTCTTCTCGTATTACAACTCAGCTCGATTGTTCAAAAAAGAAAAACGGCAGATAAGAATAGAAAAACAAATGATTTTTGATCCAAAAATGCGCCAAGGAAGAGTTTTTCTTGGAATAAGATATTAAAAATTGAACATTACGAGTACAACATCTTTATCAAAAAAGTACAATGGCGGCCGGAAGGGAGTTTAGAGTAAAATGCGTGTTTTTTACGTCTGACAATGAGAAAACGAAAGTAGTTCCTAGCAGAAGGAAAGAATCAATGCTGAGAAGCAAAACGAGTGAGCGTTGATCTCCTATTTGATAAAGATGGCTGCCAGCAGGTAATAACTAACCTCATTCGAATATCGTCCATACTCGACCATTCCTCCAAAAATGATAAGTCTTGTTCCATCACAAATAAAGCCGTAAGCCGCGCATCCTGGTGGAATATCTCCCCTAACAGCTGGCACAAACCACTGATTTGTAGCTGAAAATATCACCCAAAAAACAAGATATTCAAGGTTAACAAGATCTTGACTATAAAAACAAATCACAACCTTAAACTACACAACGCTCTGATTCGGCGCCAACGCCAAAGAGGCCGCCATCTTGTTCGCCGCCGACGCTGTTTTGTTTACCTGAGTTATAAACGTGAAGTTCATCTACAATCCCTTCATTTCCACCACCAAAAACGACCATGAGCTCTCTAATAGCCACCGCACGATGGCCATGCCGTGGACGCGGTACAGGGCCGCTAGAATTCGAGATTTTTTTCCATTTCATGGTCGCCGCCATGTTGTTGTTATCCGGGCCATCGCAGTGAACAATAAAACACTACCCAACATACACTGCGAGCACACACTGTGTTGACTCACTGTATAAGACTGGCACGAGGAACACCCTGTTACAAACAATACTCTCTAGGGGAGGGTTAATTACTATGATTACCATTGCTAAATAACTACAACTATAGCTCTTATAATCTCTAATATATTAGTCCACGTTTATTTAATACTTATTTGAGACAACTGATTATAATATTTAAGCGCTAAACATATATTAAGCAATGAAATAAAACTCTTTACAAATACACTCTTCCCCTCACCCCAGAGTATAAAGCATTTCGTCATCCGGTCAGGATGTTTTATTACAAGGTTGATATGTGATGAGCCGCTAAGTGCAATAACTTTTCGCGTTCATTTATTATTTTATTATAGAGGATATTTGGTKTCGATGTGAAAGGAAGGATCTCTGGATCACGGTATTTCATTTTGCTGAAAAAAAATTCTTTCCTCTTGAGCAAATACTGAAAAAGAAAGCTTACCTCGTAAAATGAAACAGCAACACGTGCGAAACTGTAGCTTCTCAACTTGGTATCCAAGATTCAAGAACGTCACTATTCGTAGCCGTGTTATTCCTTTGAGTAAAGATTTCATAGACTATCTAAATGCTGATGGTGTTGTTCTACCCGGAGAACCTTGTAGCCATACGCGCAACTCCGACGACGAAAGTGATTCTGAAGAATGGAAAAGCAGGGAAGAAGATCCTGACCAAGAAACAGCTCAAGCACCAGAGTTTAATGAGATTGAAACGAAAATTAAAGAAGCAGTCAGTGATCTAGGGGGTTCTGTATTCCCTAAGTTAAACTGGAGTGCCCCAAGAGATGCCTCTTGGATATCTCACAACGGTACATTGAAATGTAAAAGTGTAAATGAAATATATCTCTTGTTGAAAAGTTCAGACGTTATAGCAGAACAATTAACCAATCCATTTGAGGGCTGTGAAGACAGTCAAAGTGAGAATGATATGGGATATGAACTGGTGCTCAGAAAATGGATGGATATTTACCCGGGAATGGAATTTAGATGTTTTGTTAAAGATAGAGAACTTGTAGGAATCAGCCAACGAGATATCTCAAGCTTCTATCCCTTCATCAAAGAAAATCAAGATGACGTTATCACTGATATTTTATTAWTTTTTGAGAATAAGATTGCTGAAGCCTTCCCAGATAGTTGCTATGTGTTTGATGTGTACAGATATGCAGATCAGAAGGTTTTGCTTCTTGACGTCAGTCCATTTGGTCCACCAACCAACCCRCTGTTGTTTACATGGTCTGAATTCACTGAAGATGAACTTGAACAGTTGCAGGATGTGGAATATCCTGTCTTTAGAGCTATAAATTCTGAAGTAGGAATTCAACCAAGTCCATTTTCTTCTAGCCACTTGCCAAAAGACTTTAGAGACTTGGCAGCAGGAGAGGATATTAATAAACTTGTTGACTTCCTCAATGTTAATCAACTGATACGAAGACCTGAAGATGATGATGATGAGTAAATCTGCTAGCTAGTACCAACAAACATTTGTGATTCCTCTGATTAATGATAAATAATAAAGATTAATTATTATCCACCCTGAAAATTATGTGAATAAACATGCTGTATGAAAGAGTTTGTTTTTATTTAGTTTATACTGCCATTTACATACCATTACTTATGGATCTTACATTTTTTAGTGGCTGGTCCAATTAATAAATAGGAAGGTTACCAACTTCTATGGTGGAAAGCATTCAAGGGTAGAGTTAGAACCAATCTCTCCCTCCACTACCCCCTAAGTATATATCATTTGGTTAGAGGCTGAGTGAATTCTGAGCAGAATCATTGTGTTCATTTTGGGAAGCAGCAAAATGAAATCGCATAGATTTGCCAAAATTTAAAACAGGCCATGACGTTTTTATTATGTTTTAAATTTTGGTGGCTACAGGAATCTCAACATTGAAAGTGAGGTGATTATAAATCTAAATAATGATTATTCCAGAAAAGAATATATTTCTAAGTAGCAAATGTGATGCAACAGAAAAAAATATTTTCAAACAGAAGTCAAATACTCCCCCTGGATCGATCCCCCCTCTGATTACCTCTTTCATGGGTTGCCTGTGGTTTGACTGACCAAATTCAAACATGTCTGCAAAATTATCCAGAAGATATCTTTCGTTTACTAGAAGGCTAAGGCTCTTAAAACGTTATTCTTCCCATATTACATTTGCTAAGGATGAAGAGGTAGGGTTTTAGGAATTATAGATAGCTCTGTGTCGAAAATTCCGAAAACATTCCCGCGCATTTTGAGCTTTGAAACATCCTGAAACATCATCTCATTCATAGCTAGAAATTTTCCGAAAAATATTTTCTTGAAAACTATCATCAGTTGGTCTTTGACTTTTTAATACAGGATAGTGTTCCAGTCAAAGCATGGGTCCAAGGTGTCCCTGTCGAAGAAGATGCAGCAAAACAACTTAAAGCCATAGCTAGACTACCCATAGTTTATTCACATGTAGCAGCCATGCCTGATGTACACATAGGCAAGGGTGCTTGTGTTGGGTGTGTGGTTCCTACGGTTAATGCAATCATTCCTGCAGCTGTTGGTGTTGATATTGGTTGTGGTATGATGGCTGTCAAGACATCTATGTTAGCTAAACATCTACCTGACTCGCTCAAGGGTCTGCGCACTGCCATAGAGAGTGCAATACCACATGGCAGAACTAATCATGTTAGTATAAAACAATGTTTGTATAATGACTTTAAATGAATGAACTAAATCCCCTTTTAATTAGCCTTTTTTGTCAAATGATTTGACAGAGGTGGGCTCTCGATACTCAAGCTACCCAAGCAGAAGTGGTTGAAATTATTGATATTTGTACCACTCCTAACTCGCATTTGACCAGAAATCTGTTTAATTTTTGTAATCTAGGGTGGAAGTGGTGATGCTGGAGCATGGAGAATGAATGATCTCCCAGAACAAGTCAAGCAAAGCTGGAAAGTACTGTCTGGGGATTATGAATACATATGTCGCCAACAACCATCAACAAAAGCCAAGAATAATATCAATCACTTAGGAACATTGGGAACTGGAAATCACTTTGTTGAGGTATGTCAGGGTTTTCTATTGATTGTTCAAGGTTTTAGTGATTTTATCTTAGACAAAAAACTGTGATTTTATTGCTATGTGATGATCATGACAGCAAGATAATGTTATTTGGCAAGAGACGGTAACCATCAATCAATAAGCCTGAAGCGAAATGACATTTTACCCCCGACTCATACCATAATAGTTTTTAAAATTCTTTCATATTAAAATTTTTGATTCCTTAGAGAATACAGGAACAATAGTCATAATTAAAGAACAAAAGCAGTGTGAAAAGGATTATGGTCTAGAGACGGGGGTAAAACGTCATCTCGCTTCAGGCTTATTTATGTGCTCAATTTAGTTAAGTGACAGTACCCAGTCAATTGCCAATTAACTTGCTCAATCAGCACATACAATAAAAACAATGGTTATCTAATCCATGAGAAAAAGGGTAATTGAGAATAATAATATATGCTTCTCACCAAAATACTCTAGTTTTTGTGAATCATAGTTAATAGCTGCAAATTTATATAGCTATAGGGGCGAAGTAGATAAAGAGTAAGGGAGGATGTGTTCAGTTGATGGAGTTACTACACCTTGTAGTCAGGTCTCTTATGGCAAAATATAGGTCCCATCGTGACAGAAGTGACAAAAGC